CCTAAACTAGATCACAGTTGATAAATATGTGCCACCATCAGATATGTTGCCCTGAATAATTCTAAATTATGCAGACTTAAAAAGATCAGTACTATTTTATGTAGTAGGCAATAAAAGTATGAGTAATTACTGTAACGATTATATAGATCACACGTCAAATTTTCTCTGAACTTTCAAAAACATTCTCAAAGTTTCTGAAAATATCCGAAAAATATTGTATTCTTCTGAAATCCTACTTTCTCATTGGACAGATAGTCTTTATTTCCTTGACCTAACATTGAAAGCTACTTTCTAGATGCATTTGAATGACTCATTACTAGAAGTGCTACTGGGTATAACCATGATACTACATGAGTCCTTTCTCCTCGTAATATCTTTTTTCCATCTTTCTATCAAGATGATAATTAGGGAAAAAGATGCTAAGAGCTAGATGTATGTCTAGGAACATCTCTCTTTCATGTACTATGTAATGAGTTTAAACACTATCTAATGAGTTTAAAACTAGATTATCTGAAGGAATTAGTTTGCACTGGGGGGAGGGCAGAATCACAAAGAAGGGTTTCTAGAATTGACTGAGCTTTACAAATTTGCCAAACTACCTGGCATAGCATTGTAGGCATCGTGACCATAACATTATCTTTAGGAGGATACAGTTACCTCCTCAGATGACTATGTGCTGAGCACTGCAGCTATAAGTTTATTATCCTGTGGCATTGTTTTCAGCACTGTGAGCAAAGAGGATTACTCCTGTCAGAGCACAGGAACGAATGATCACATTCGGTTTCAGAGGGATATCTTACTCTATACTCCCAGGTAATATTAAGAATGAACTGGCCCTACATCTGCTGAAATCCTGATCACACCTAATTTAAATTGACGTGCAATTTGAGTTAAATTTATTTTCTACCCTTTCAAGGGAGACAGATTTTTGTTTCTGTTTATTTAAACTGCTGTTGGAATTGGTTAATTAAAAGGGTTTAAAAAATCTTAATACTCTAAACAGAGCAAACTGGTTCTGAATTATTAAGCAACATTTCAGATGCATTTAAATAACCTTAAGTGACTTAACTGCCACCTGATCCTAAGCTGTGGCTCAGAAAAATAAAATGTGAAATACTGTAGAAGTCTTGGCTTACTAAGGCTTCCAGATACAGTAAATAAAGAGCTTAAGTCTCTAGTATAGTGTCTGCAAAAGACATACTCTCAAATACGTAGCTTATGCTCCACTTTTAAAGAGAAATACATAGAAGAAATTATAGGTTGTAATTCTGATTTTTCAGAAGATATTAATGAGTTCAGAAAATACAAAGCTCTCTCAATGCTTTGTATGTTGGAAATACTGTCTTGCAAATGAGATGTACTTGTGAGAGCTTGCCAGGACCTTACTTTCTGACAGATACCATAAAACTCTCACCAGTACAGCATTAATCCCAGTAGCATGAGCTGAATCCCAATTTGGGTAAATTTGTTCTGCATATTCCTTCTATAGTTTCAACTGGATATGGTGTACTTCAGTTTCTTCCTAATATGTGCTCAAATGCCCAGTCCACAACATGTTAAAGAGTTTTAGGAAGACTTCTACAGATCTCCATGGAGGAAGCAAGGTATTTGTCATTCAAGAGGTCCACAGGATACTGAGAGAAGGTAGATTTTGCAGCTGGCAGACTGACAGGTCTACTGAAAGTAGCGTTTGGGAAGGCCTTTAAGAGAAAGGGACTCATAGAAGGAGGAGTGAGGAAATACTGAATGAGCATGCTAATATACTTAGGGTAAGCTTTTTTGTTATAATTAAAATGCATTTTGAAGATTAGAGTGATTCTTGGAAGACAAGGAACTACAGTTCTAAAGTCAATACATACCTTTAAATAGTACATGTATTTATTTCTGTAAAGCCTTTGCAGGTGCATTTAAGAAAATGCAGAGAACTAAATATATAGCTTTTTAATGAGAAAGATGTGCTTGCCAAACATTTTCAAAGTTAGAGTTACAAGTTACCTACTGACACAGGTTCACTAGTGCGAAATGTAAGTATGGTATGTAGTTCTGCTTTGGTTAAGGTACTGAGAAAGAAAGTGGTTAATATCTAATTTCAGTGCAAGCAGAAAGAACACCACAGTCAGTGACAAAGACCCAATAACAAGTCATTGCATGTGCTTAAATGCTTTGGAATGTCACTGCTGCTTTAAAAACTACAAGTAGTGTCTAGAAAAGGTTAATCTGTGTATTTACTCATGTGTAGAAGTTTGTATTTGCAGTAGGGTTATGATACCAACTTTAAGTTAGCTAAGGATATCTGTGTAAGCAATTGGAACATAGAACTAAGAACTAATGAATTTTTATTTACCAAAGAAGTAAAAATACTTCAAAAACATTGTAGCAGGGCATCAGGACTAATGGCTTTGAAAAGCATTTTGTGAAAAGCATTTAAAAACGTTCTGATAAGTTTACCTCAAGCAAAATGCTGATTTAATTAAATCTAAGTCCCTCATTTTGATAAGTCTGAAACACTTTTAGGGCTATGTTTGTTATTGTAATTCAGATTAGGAGAGAAAATAAAATGATTAACTTGAGAAGACATGCTTTCATCTTACGGCAACAAACACTCCAGTAAAGTAATTCTGATCCTTTCAGAACACATTTTTGAAAAATGTTAAGTATATTTTTAAATACAAAAAGATATTTTAAAATGCTATCGTTATTTGGAGCACAAGCATTCCAGGGGCTCTGTTCTATTTTACGTGTGTGTGTGTGTGTGTGTGTGTGTGTGTGTGTGTGTGTGTACACACACACTACAGAGATTTCAGTGGATGTTTATGATGCATATCATATGGCAGAAGCAGCTTGACAATTTGCACTGTTTTTAAGAGTCTGTACTCCCATGAAAGCTAAATGAATATATACTTTTACCATACTTCCAACTCATTCATCAGTACTTTATTATTATCCTCTCTATAGAGTTGCACACTTCCAGCTTTCCAAATCTATGGTACATGACAGATATCATTTATAGTTTTCAGCAGTTAGGAAGCCCCTGGGAATTACTTTTTGTATGTTTTAGCCCTGGTGGTCACAATGGCAACCAGATTCATACATGGCCACTCAGTCAACCAGCATGAATCATTTATACGACTCCTCAGGTATGGCATTATTAGGTTAGAATCACAGACAAAAGATTGCAGGGTCTTGCCTCTGATGACAAACCAACAGCTTTATATCCTTCTGTAAAATTCTTGCTTTGCCTCAATATTTTTTCCCCCCACAGTTTCACAAAAGTACTGAAAATTCCATCTTATTCAAATTTAGTGGCTTGTTTTACTTTCCTTTTTTTCATTTCTCATTCAAAGCATCTGTTCTGTTTAAGAGTTTACAGACAGCTACAATTAATAATGGTGACCATGACGTGATTATGCACACAAACAGCCATTCTAACTAGCAAGATTTTGAAGTGCAAAACAAACGTAAAAAACTACAGTAATGCATTTATAGTTTTTTTACATTACATATATAGTAAGGCATGGATAGATTCTAGATAGGGAGGTATGACATGACTTTCTGAATATTTAAAACACACAAAAAAACACCGTTTAGACTGCAAAAGATTGGTTTTCTTCTGTTTCAAGTAAACTGAAAGATCAGTAACACTGGGAACACATAGATGGCTTTTCTACTCCACTGAAAATGGTATTACATGCTTATGGAGTAAAGTTAATTGCTGATTAAATGATATTCCTTAAATGCTTCTTTACCCTCTGGCTAATCAGGATTCTCAGTATAAGACAAGGTGGAAGAAAAGTTATAAACATTACAGTCTTCTTTCACATAGTCCTGCCAAAAATCTTCAGAAAACACATCTGCTCTCAAGGTCCTATGCTTGTTAAGGGCATTATTTTCCTCCCCTTTTGGAGTACTTGTGTCACGTAAGATAAGTTACAAATAAGATGTTAAAGCGACGGGTGTTACAAAACAGTACTGTATACATGCCAATCAGAGTCTTATTCCTAGTGAACTTCCTCCAGAAGCAATGATGAGAAAGAAAATTGAAAAGCAACCCAGTTATTGAGTTCCTTTGAAGAAAAACAGAGAAAGATGGTTTAACCAATCACGTGGAGATTTCCCCAGCAAACAAAATCCCAGGTGACGCAGAGCTTCACCCACTCATTCGCAGTCCTGAAACCAACAGGGCCAAAAAGCTGTTGAACCTCATCCATCACTGGTTGGCTCAGTTTGTACTGCAAGCTCTGTTGTACCCGTTACCTTGATATTTTATGCAGGGCCTCACTTCACTGCTGCACAACTGGACCCACTAACTTTTACCTTTGCTTTAACATTAACTGCACAAGAAATGAACGTTAGATTGCAATCAAGTAGACAATGCATAGGCATATCTTCAAAGAACCTAATAATAGCACATAAATATCCACTGAGAAACCAACAGAACTGAGTTTTCTTTTGAAAGC